CCCTCCCTTTCCCTCTCGGGGACCGTGAATCAATCCCGTCCCGGACAGGAAACCAGACCCAGGGCAACCCCCTCCGCTGCGGCGGAACAAAGGAGAGGAGCGCAGCTGCACGCTCAGGAAGCCCCATCGGGTCCTGGCCCCCTTGTCCCCCGCTGCTGCCGGGGCACGCCGCACCTGAACCCCACTCCCCATTGTTCTCCCTCCGCTTTCCTTCCCGTAGGAGGCCACCCCGTGTCCTCCCACAGAACCAGGGGTACAAGTAACAGCTGTGGGCCAGAGATGGATGGGCAGTGGGTGAACACGAGGAAGATCGGGATTTCACTTTGCCCACAGGTACGACGGAAATGGGGCAAAGTAAGCAACTTAGTTTACCAGCCCACTTCTCTCCCACCCTCCCCCGAAGCAGCTGCGGACGCGACCACCCTGCGCGACCTCCAGCGTGCTCGGGCTCTCGCCGCAGCGCCGCCTCGCCCCGAGGAGAAAGCCGCAGACCCCGCAGACCCGAGTCCGGCGGGTAGTGGCCCGGCCACGCAGACCCCGGGCACAAAGGCGCGGGGCGTATGCTCACAGCCCCTAGAGGGCCGCGGCCGGACCCAGCGGGAAGGGCAGGGGAGAGAGGGAAGGCGCTCACGCTACCTTGCCGGGCGCCACTCAGCCGCCTCTTCGTTCTCCCTCTCCGGGGACGCTCCGGGACGCGGGCCCTCCGCGAGGCTGCGGGGCTCCCGCGGCGGCTGCTCTGGGGAGGCTGCTGGGCGGGCGCTGTCCCGCGGCTACCGTCCCTTGGCGCGCCCCGCGCTCCGGCACCACCTCTACGCGCCGCGGCTGGACCCCGGTGCGCGCTCGGCTGCAGAGTGCTTGGCGACTGCGGAGTGCTCGGCTGCGGCGCAAGGCGCCGGGCCACTCCCCTCTCCCGGGCAGGCGGAGGGGCCGGCCGAGGGGCGGGGGCGGCGACCTCGCAGCCTGGGATTCGCCCCTCCGCGCGCCCGCAGGACCCGGAGCCACCGCCTCCCAACCAACTCACCTCCGGCCTCCGGGCGCTGGCTGCATAGCGCCCCCCGGTGAGGGCGGGCGACAGCTTCCGCACCCGGGGCGACCCTAAATGGGACAGGAATGGAAAAGAAAGAGGAGAGGCGGCCGACCCCAGCCCCCACGGAAGGCACGGTCCTTTTTTACTCCCGGGTTGACTGACATCAAACGTAAAATATAATAACTGGGGCGCGGGTCGGGGGCGGAGGAATGATAACTAGAAGCCAACCTGAAAGCAAATGCAGAGTGGGAGTGTTCTCAATTTTTCCTCCTCTTCTAGACAAAAAAGTTTGGATACCCAAGAATAACAAAATATTAATTTGAGCGAAAGAGAAAAAAAAACGTATTGAGTGGCAAAGTGTGCTTTTACTTACAATGTTTTTAATATCTATTAACCCACTTAATCTCACACGCTAAGTAGACACTGGCCAATTCTGTTACAGGAAAAAAGATAGTTTAAAAGAAATTTCAAATACCCGTATATATCTGAATACAGCGTATTAACTGACATTAAGTAATAATCAACGATGGGGTAGTAATCTACATTTTGTTAAATCTGTGTATTATTTAGGCACGTTGGAGGGGCCAGCAAATCAGTACCTCCAGCTCCTCACTCCAGCAGATCTCTTGCCTCTTTTAGAATTTAGAACAAGCCACCTGACACAGGTCCTGTTTCCTCATCCCTAGGAGGGAAGGGTGCTCCTCCAAACTTACTCACTGGGTGAGTTAAGGATTACTTGACTAAGGTATTAAAAGCAACGTAGGCACAGTAATTATTACTCATGGTTCTAACTACTTTATCCTATAATGAAATAAATTGCCATAAATGGGGCCAGGTTTAAATGGACTGACCTATATCAGGAAACTGTCACTAAAATGAGGTGAACCAAAGAATTCAAACCATATATAGTAACTCTGTTCCCACAGGCAGAACCACAGGCGCTGGGATTTGTCAAATGACACCAGTAGAGTTTGGAAAGGTGATAATTCCAAACTGTATCTGCTTGGAACTATATCATCATCGATGACACTGACAAGCATCAATTCAGATCTGCAGAAAGCAGGAAAAAGGTCTAAGCTGAGACATACTGAGTACCAGGTACTGCTTTTGTTTTTCTTCTTCTTGCTTAATCTTCACAAAATCCTGGAAGGTAAACTACTCCCATTGTTCTTGTTTTACAGACCAGAAAAAGCAAACAGGTTTTCGAGCTAATAACTGGCCATGGTGGTTTGAAGACATGGCCACCAATTAATTCTTTAACACTCCTATTAAGGAGTGAGTCTTTTTGCCTTCTTCTTGAATGTGGACTGGACTTAATGACTTGATTCTAATGAATAGAATGGAGCAGAACTGATGCTACATGACTTCTGATTCTAGGTTGTAAAAGGAGCTACAGCTTTCACCTGGCTCTCAAGGACACTTACCCTTGGAACCCAGCTGCCATGTTATAAGAAAGCTCAGGCCACGTGGAAGGTCATGTGTATGTGTTCCAGCTCTTGGTGCCAGCTGAGGACCCAGCCGAAGCCAGAGATGAACTGTCAGACATGCGAGTTAGCAAGCCTTTGAGATGACTCCAGCACCAGTCACTGACTGACCACACTATATGAGAGACCTAGAGGGAAAACCTAGCTGAGCCTAATCGGTACCCAGAAACAGGAGAGAGCACAATAAAAGGTTATCTTTGGGGTGGTGGTTACGTGGCAGTAGACACTGGGAGCAGTAGCAGAGCAGTTGAACCCAGGCAGTCGGACTCCACAGTTCCTACCTCAATCAAGCGCACTACCTCAGACCTTGATAGCCTAGCCTAATGAACACCCTGGACATCCCAGCCTCCACAATGGACAACACATGGACCTGCTGCCTGATGACACGTTTTAGACTCGCTTTTCCATTTTGCCCATTTGATCCTCAGCTCCAAATGACTGCTTATAGCAGTTTGGCAGTAAGGGAGCCTATGACCTCTGCTGTCCACTCCAGCTTTTCAAAAATAGCAGAAATTCAAATGGCAGGTTCACAAATACAAAATGTAAACAAATGGTTTGAAAGAGTGGGGGAATTCTATAACCTTTTGATCTTGGAAGAAGGCCAAGTTTTAGTAAAAAGTACATTTGTGACAAGTATGTGCTGAGTAGGACTATTGAGAGAGCTGTTCTTAGGAAGGCTTTGCAGCTCCTGTCCCAGGAAAGAGATAGAGAACTTAGTTATGTTGAAACAATTCTGCCTCTAGAAGGACCTAGTACAGAGGGGGACACTTGAAGCTTTCTCCCTGTTTTTCATCAAGTTCAGAAAAGAAAATACTCGAAACCATTGAACTCATCCTAATAAACACTGAGAAAATAAACCAAGAAGCTTATTAGAAAGCCAAAACTATTTCTAGAGCAAGGCTATGCTCTCCTTTTAAAAATACCATTAACCTAGTTTTTATAAATCTCAAAATCCAAACTTCTGAGAACATACCATGCAGTTTTTAAATACTTTTACCTTCCTGGCCAGTCTTTTCAAAAGTCAAATCAATCAACAACTTTTAAATTTAACAGAAGCAGATTATAGTTTCTCTAATAATTGTCAAGAAAAGATAATAAATCCACCAACTACAAAAGCATTTTTTTTACTTTCCCCTCAATCTATTTGGAAGAAGTAGAATATATGAAGAAGCCAAAAGACTATTATTAAGATTTGAGGGTGAAAAACATAAATTATCAAACTACAGGAGTAAAAGAATGTAAGAAGTGTGCTTTACCTCACTGAAAACATGCAATGATTTCAATTGAAACACAGAAAATCCTGCCATCATTGTGGGAAAATACAGAAATACAAAGCATATTTGTGTGTGTGTCCCAGGAAGAGGATTACCACTAAATGTGTAGGGGTGTTTGGGTTTTTTTTCCTTAGTTGTTTCACTTGAGCCCTTTTTAAAAAGAATTCAACATTAGGAAAAAACCATTAAAGGACCACATGACTTGCTCCTGGCCTCATTTTGGTGTAGCAAGCAAAATAGTGGGCTGGAAGTCATAATTTTAGATTTTCTCACTGGCCCTTTCTGAAGCTAGCTTTAGAATTTTAGCCAGAAGGCTTATGTTCTCTGTCCTTAGTTGTTGTACATTACTGAACGAGTTAAGGGCCTTCTAGTTCTAAAAAAAATCTAAGAGTCTTTGTTTTTGCCTTTTTTTCTCTCCTCTGCTACCTACCCAACACTTAATTTTCACCCACTTTGCTTATCCTTTGATAACCAAACTCAGTTCTAACCTATTCCTGACCATCTTCTTAAATTGGATTCTGCTTTCTTTACTATGGTAACATCTTGATGCCACATCCTCTAAGAAACCTATTAATTTGCTCCCGGTTATGAAATCTTTCTAGTGTTTGGCCTCTCCAACTAGATGGTAGATCTCTAGATTAAAGGAGTAATTCAGTTTGAAAACACCAGGCCCATGACAATAAGAGCAGTGTTGGAGAGCTTACTCTGTTCTAGAAAGTGTTCTAAATGCTTTGTGTATGTTAATTCATTTAACCCTCACAACAGCCCAGTGAGATAGGTTATTATTACTGTATGATCCATTTTACAGATGATGAAACTAAGGCAGAATAGTTAAGTTACTTACCTAAGGTTACACAGTAATAATAGTAGAGCCAGGATGTGAATCTAGTCTATCTAGTTTTAGGACCCAATCTCTTACCTCAAGGCTACATTTGGTACTCCCCTGTAACATCTGTGAGCATTTAATCCAAGAGCTCTTTTTTTTTTCTTTTGTCTCTGAAAGCAAGTACAGTCATCCTTCAGAGTCTAAGGGGGATTGGTTCCAGGACCCATCTCACAACCAAAATCCTCGGATAGCAAGTTCCTTACATAAAATGGCGGAAAATTTGCATATAACCTACACATATCCTACAGTACACTTTAAATCATCTCTAGATTATTTATAATACCTAATACAATATAAATTATATGTAAATAGTTGTTATACTGTATTATTCAGGGAATAGTGACAAGAAAAGAAGTCCGTACATGTTCAATACAGATGCAACCATAGTAGGCCTAACTATTGGGTTGTCAGAAAAGTCATGATGCATTTTTGCAATGAAAAACAGAAAAAATACATCATGACTTTTCCGACAACCCAATACATGGTACATGTCAGCAACAACATAACATTTTTTTTCCAAATATTTTGAATACGCATTTCGTTTTCAAAATACGTAATGTTGAATCCACAGATGCAGAACCTGCAGATACTGAGGGCTGTGTTGTCTTATTGCTTTAGTATATATATCCTAGTTTAGAATAGTGCTCCAAATGTAGCAAGCTCTGAATTCATATTTCTTAAATAGTTTCATGCAAAAGAAAATCTTTTTTATGTGCTCAAAGAGTGCTTTGGAAATAACTGATTAATGCTTCAAGTATTTGAAATTCAAATTAGTATTATAAAAAAAATGTTTCAATAGCATTTTCAGCATCCAGGACTCAGCCACAAAAACACAACTCTTACACTAAGTATTTCAAAATATGTAGATAGAAAATAACTAGGAGAGTGGATCTTGAAAGTTCTCATCACAAAAAAATCTAAAAAGAAAATTTGTAACTGTGATGACAGATGTTAACTAGACCTTTTGTGGTGATCATTTTGCAATGTGTACAAATATCGAATCATTATGTTATATACCTGAAACTAATAGAATATATGTCAATTATTCTTCAATAAAAAATAAGTTAAATAAAAAAATTTAAACTGTACATAAATGAAAACAAGAATATTAGAGGGTAAGAAGATTGATGGAATTTCTCCCAAGCAGGAAAATTCACCAAATCTTTTTGAAGATTAAAAAAAGAGGAATTCAAAGAGCTCACAAGTAGAGTTTTTGAT